AGATATCAATACGTTGGTATGTCTTTAGTATTTTAAATTAAAGGAAACATAAGCATGAGTAAAATTTGGCTGACATATTACCCAAGTCACATATTATTGGAATGTTAATTAAGCAGCAGATACATACATCACTGTTTCAGTCTGCAGTCCAATTGATCCCCTGTTTAAATGATTTATATATAGTAGCACTTCGATTTGCTTCCTGGATTCACGATTTCAAGCAAAGGGAGATTTTTGCCTTTTTAATAGCCGGATAATAGTAGCATGATCTGCAATGAAAAATTTTAGTGGCCCTTTACTGTGTGAAAAGTGTCCAAAAAAGTGACGTAATGACTCCAAAACTTTACCATTATAGCAATGATGTCTGTTTTTGTCTGTTTTGGAAGATGGCAACGTTTCTTCCTATTATGGGCAGAAACGTAGATTTCAAAAAAGTCAAGTCACTATATTGTTGTTTCACATACATTAAACAAAATTGCGATTCTACAGACTCAGCAGCTTGGACAAGGACAGTTGAGCAAGAAATATGGGGGAAATATAACAATAAAAGAAAAACAATACACAACAGTACAAAACAATACATGGTAACTACAACAACAATGATACTGTGACAATGAATGCAAGTCATACATGTGAGTAAACAGTCGTCCAGGGCAGTGTAGAGACCACAAACATCTATCAATGGTCATCAAAGGTAATGTTTCCAGTTTGCACTGTTACACAATAAAATTATTGATTTACTGAATTGTAATTAAAGTCTGTAGCAAACTTGTGCATTGGGTTAGTGCAGACGCCCTCTGAAATCCGGGCCAGTCAGTGATTATTGTAGGCCTACTACTTCTGGTAGAAAAAAAAACAGATTTCCTTCACATTTAGAAAATGAAATAAAATTTAAAAAGTTAAAGCAAATTTTACAGATCCACTGAATCTACACATTCCTGTACTGGTCAGGAAAATGAACAGTTCCGGGTCCTCGAGTGTAGTTGTAATGCAGTCAGTCAAACCGTTATTACATGTAATACAACCACAAAGTAGTGTTCCAAATTATGCTATTTTTATAGTTGGAATTTATGGGCAAAATATGTGTTGTAACATTTTCCTTATTGGATAATTCCTCACTAGTTCATATCGTATTTCCCCCAAACACTGGCAAAACCCGCAGAAGCAGAATGACAACAAACGTCGGCTTCACACAAACGTATGAAAATCGATTGGTAAGATAATTTCATCACGGCAAAGCACAACACCATCAGTGTGAGTGTCGCTGATAGTGTGGAGCGTGTGGTCATTGCTGTCTGCGGCCTGTTCACGTGGAAGCCCCAGTCCAATCTCAGGGAACCTCACTCATCGACAGTCTATTGGCAGCTTTGATGTCCCGAATCCTCTTCATATCCTGAATATAAAAGGGAGAAGGACTTCCAAAAGAGACACATAGTCTAGGGATGGGGGGGGGGGGGGGGAGTTGCTTCAACACCCCGAAAAGGGAGGAAAAAAGAGGAGAAACGGCTTCCCACTGAAAGAAACTCTTTCCCAACTGAGGGCGGCTTCACAATAGCCCCTCAAAAGATGGATAGATCAATTGTCCTGTTTAGTGATCCGCAAATGAGAAAGGAGGGGGTCCTGCGTGTAGGGGAGCCCTACACCGGGCCTGACCTGACATTGGGGGGGTAAGACAATGAAAGGCCAAGGGTGCTAACGAGAGGGAAAAGCGCAGACAATGAGGGCCTCAGCGAGAGCAGCGCTGCTGCCAAGCCGGCTAAGGAGGTGCTACATGAAGTGCATTAGACACGTGAAGGGCAAGTGGAGCGGAAAGAACGTGACGCTTCCTCCATGGAGCATCTAGTGTGGGCCACCGCTCTGAAAATTTACCGAGGCCTCCCGATGGGGTCAAAGTGACAGTAGACACTTAGCCTGAATCCAAAATAAAGATGATTTAATTTGACAAAAAAGGACCTAAAAAAAAAACAACTAAACATACAATGAATAGGACCAGTGTTTCCATTGATTGATAAGTTGGTTCTTTTCTTCTTGCCGGGGTTGCCACTGTTCTCTCTCATTCAGGAATGTTGTTTATGTTGTCAGCCGAAAAAGGCACAGATGGGAAATTAGAACATTTGAAGCCAATTAAAAACCGGGTTGTGCAGTCATCAATCTTATTTTCCGGACACTCGCACCGAAACGCCACCTACGTGGTGGTTGTGTTGGTAATGCTTGGTTTTTTTCCATTTCAGTGTAGGTGGCAAATGTCAAATGGTCAACGCTTGCAGCTTTCAAACATAAACTGAAAAATGCATAGAACAGCATAATACAAACATATTATTGGATGTGGACCATTTCGGTTCATTAAAAAATTTTGGAAAACAGTTTACAGCTGCACATAGGAAATGTGTGAGAAAACTGAGAAAGAATGCCCTGTGTAGAAAATGTTCTTAATTTATAACTTGTTCATTTTTTTTTCGTGGTGCTGTTACCAAAATGAAAAGTTATGCAGTAGCCGCCCAAATGAACACTTCAAGCATGGAGACAACAAAAAACATTTCCTGATGATTTGTTTTCTATACTTAACAATATATTTAAGGTAATAAACTAGCGTGATTCTGTGGATGTGAGGTGTAGGAGGCTGGGCCGTACACGAAGCAGTGAGGCAAAGGTGTGAATGGCTCTCGTTGACACTGATAGCACAGAGTTTCAAGATAAGTCTAGATCTTTTAGGGTCACTCTGCTGTGAGGCTTTTGATAGTTAAAACTTGCTGGGTGGGTCTTCATTTTCTTGCAAATGACCACTTAACTCTTTTTATCCTTTATTTTGTTCTGTGCCAAATGGCCTGAAATCCAAGGATGATTTTTTTTGTTGAGCAAATGTCACACAGTGACCACCTGGTTTCACCACTGACCATCTACATTCAATATTCATCGCAGCTCTCATACACTAACTATTCCAGTAGGTTTTACTAAATGCCTATGCAGAATATTTCCATTATGAACCTCAGTTCTCACTGAAACAGAGCAACATTTGATTATTCAATAAATTAACCGAATGTACCATAAACACTTCTAATGCTAAGTATATTTTATTGTGACTTAAATATCCAAATTAAATGTTCGTTCTCCTATATCGACTTTAATACACTCCTTACATTTATACAATTTTCAAGAGAAGACAAATAGGGAAGAAAAATAAATTTTATTTTATTTTAGAGAAAAATTACTTATTTATGTAGCCATTGAAAGCCAAATCAAAAACTCTATATATTTTTTGTTAAATAGAATTGCTGCCAAATAGTGCCTTTATTTACTTGATCAATCCAAAATCCAAAATTTCCCAAAACTCTTTTTAAGGCTTTTGTGATTGCAGAAAGATACATCAAAATATAGCTAGCTAGTTTAAATGAAAAGTAAACTACTTTTCTAATATTTTGTTCAGACTACTCAGGTAGTTAATCATTTTTATCAGGAAATGCGAAACAATAACAGAGAAAGGAATGTGTTCACGCAAGACTTTTTGCCCCTTTTCGATGATATAGATCTTAAATGACATGCTCTAGACCCTGTATTTGCATAACTTTGCATAATTTTGCCTAGGCCCAGCGAGCTCTGCTAACGTAACTATTTGCACAGCAGTGGAACCTCGCAGTCGAATACCATGAAGTGTTTGTTTGAACCTGATAATGTTTATGAGTTCACCTGAAATTCGTCTATTTTGTTGTATTCGCTCTGGCATTGTGGAATCCTATTGACGCTCCCCGTGAGCTCTGTAAAGCTGATTGTTTCCTGGGAGACTGCAGAGATTGGCTGGTCCGGTACCCAGAAGGATTCTGGGAAGATGTTTTTCTGTTTACAGGCAATAGTATCCCCCCATTCTTCCCTGACTGGAATTGCAAGTCTGTGCCTGTTACTCTGCACCAGTCCAAAGGAAAGGTACGTTTAAAAGTTACAACATCTGTGAAAGCTTCCTCTCGTCAAGCCCATTTGAGCACAGACCACAGTAAAGAAAGGCATTTTTCTGGGGTCAGCATGATATCCCTATTGAACATAGAGGGAATTGTCAACAGCATATCAGTGTAATCTGCATCATGTGGCACACAATGACCTTATAAGGACAAGAAATCTAATTGGATCAAATTCATGGTGATTTATGTGATCCCTGCGTAACAGCATTGGTGAAAAAAGTGATATCATTTTGTCTTGGTTCAACATATTTTTTATTTACATGTATGTACATAATATATATATACTGTATATATATATATACACACACACACACACACATACATATACTGTGTGTGGGTGGGTGTATATATATATATGTATGTATTCCATATGTATGCACACCATTGCAACAAAATCTGAGCAATTTTTTTTCTATCTATCTATCTATCTATCTATCTATCTATCTATCTATCTATCTATCTATCTATCTATCTATCTATCATGGTTTTGCAGGAATAAAAGCAGATTGCAGTAATCAGTGCATACTGTCTGCTGTACATGTCATGCGCTGAGCAGAGCACGACACCCCCCCCCCCTCTCTCTCTCTAGCCCTTCTGTAGATGTATTTCGCTGCACTATTACAGTATGATGTCTTTTTGTAAGGCTTGGGAACTGCCACATTCATGTTAATGTCAGGGGGGTGAGGGCACTGCTGGTATTTTCATGACGAGCTCTTTTATCAGACATAATAGGCCATGAAAATTTGATCTCTTTCTTTCCCGCGCTACCCTTTCCTGAATCACACGCATGAAATTCCAACAGAGTTCTCAAGTCCTAATGACAGATTCGGCGCCTTTGGCCTGTGATCATCGCTCGTACGTCTCCGGCGTATCAGACGGAATCGGACAGGCTCATTATTTGGAACGGGCCCTCTCCCCCCTCCTCTCCCCCCTCCTCACCACAGCCCCCGCATCTGCCTCACGGTGATCCCAAAAGCATTGTGGATGCTAAACGTTTCAGCTGGGCCCGCTCCCCCTTTTCTCAAGACAACGTAATCCTATTTTAAGTGCGGCAGGGTCAGAAACAAAACAGGGCGCAAACAAAAAGAACGGGAGAGAAAACGGGTGATGCATGGATTTAATCAGGTTAGTTCTGTTCATCCCGCTGAAGCTATAGATATGAAGCTGCTAATTTAGTCTTTGTTTCGGTTATTAATAGCCAGTTTCATTATGCTTAGAAATAATGCGTACAGTAGGTTTTTAATAAGTATAATAATGCAGAAGAGTTGGCATAGTTTACATAGTTACTAAAAAAACAGTTGTTCTTATATACTTATGTTTGTCTAAAATCATTCTACACTTAGGAACTGAGTAAATAATACTTACTTAACTGATTGTATGCTTTCATTAATCCAATATTTTTTCACAATAAAAATAAATTTATTTTATATTAGATAACACATGAAATTAAATGATTAATATAATATAATATAATATAATATAATATAATAAAGTATATCCCTATCACCAGGATAAGTGGTTAGAAAATGGATGGATAGTATATTCACTCCACGTTATTATGCCAAACTTAATGTTAAGGCAGGAAAGTTCAGTAACTTAAACTTTATCTGATGTTAATAAATGAATAGTTCACTTTCTTTGTAAGGTGCACATGAATATGCAGTTCTGTTATGGTTTTTATGCTTATAAACATTCGTTTTTTTGGCTTTTAATAACTATAAAGTTAATTATTTTATTTTTTTTTAGTTTTCAGGATGATTTCCTTTCCCTTGTTTGGTTGTAAATAGATGGGGTGTGAGTGTTTGTGTGTGTGTGATGGGGGCTAGCAGGATGTTTCTCTGGCATTAAATCCTTATTAATATTAATAACAGTAGTTCAGGGGCTGGGGAATGTGACCTCTTGTTGAAACTGGAACAAACCATCTCCAAGCGGCTTACAATGAACGGGAGTTCAAAGTGGTCTGGCGGCACATTCCAGTCTGGTCTCTTCTGTTCCCCGAGCTCCACTCCCCCGAATCGTAAAGGAACCACTTCCCAGGCCTGACGCATTCCAGTCTGGTATCTTCTGTTCCCCAAACGGAACCCCGCTGAATCGTAAAGGAACTGCTTCCTAGGCCTGACACATTCCAGTCTGGTCTCTTCTGTTCCCCAAATGGAACCCGGCTAAATTGTAAAGTAACCACTTCCCAGGCCTGACGCATTCCAGTCTGGTCTCTTCTGTTCCCCAAATGGAACCCGGCTAAATTGTATCGGAACCACATCCTGGGCCTGACACATTCCAGTCTGGTCTTTTCTGTTCCCCAAGCTCCACTCCTACGAATCGTAAAGGAACCGCTTCCTGACACAGTCCAGTCTGGTATCTTCTCTACCCCAAGATCAACTACTCCAACTTGTAAAGGAATCACATTCTGGAACTGACACATTCCAGGCTGAGGTAGGCTTCCCAAAAGCTTCGTAATGCCAAGTAGTCAGTTATCTTGTACTTAAGATCAACTGTTAATTACAGAGTGTTTCTCGAAACCCTTTGTAACTCAAGGGCCGATTGTTCTTATCTGTTGTTCTTCTAAATTTTGCCTACTATTCCCTTGCAGACATGCAGAGGTCATCTGGAATAGATCACAAAAACACACTGATATTCATTTTTTGACAACATAATAATAGTGTCAATGTTGATTATGCTATAATAATTAAAGCCCATTTTTGCAATAAAAATTGTAATGTATGTTATAAATTAGCACAAAAAACAGGGCTTGTTGATCTGACACCTATATTCAGTTGGAGTACATAACAGGCTTGAGTACATAACAATTAAAATGACACTGAATTCATGTAAATTCATATACATGGTGTAGTGCAGCTGTAACAATACAGCTTAATATCTGAATATTAATTAATCATAAACATGTTAACAGACACAGCAAATGAACCAGTCCGCCATGCCCCCCTATTTGAGCACCTACCTGATACATCTCTGCACGTCATAGTTATTAAGAATGAAAGAATGCCACATTTGAAGTGTCACCCATAGAATAAATAATTTAACTGTCATTTTGTATACCATGGAGGAGGAGCCCTTCATAAGGTCATGCAAGTAACCCTGTCACAACCCCATCTACCTGATATCCCATAGGCACTCACAGGAAAAGCTACTGCAGACTCCTCACAAACCCTAACACACATAAACAGCACAATATGCCAAAACAATAAATAGGCACCCATGGAAAACTTACAGGACCAGTACAGACCAAATGCATATTGTTAGAATATGCTAAAACAGTTACAATCGTGCACATATAAAGTACACTTAACTCATTAGTACATAAGGTCAATATATACATCTACCATTTAGAAATTAAATATGTTACATATTTTTTTTATGTTTTGCTAGATTAAATGACATTCCTGTGTTGTGTGATTGCCTTGAATTTCATTGATTTGAAATGAATCCTTCTTCTTGTCATTCCAAGTCAAATTCCAATTCAGAAATGGATTAATCAAATCATAAATTCTGCACGACCCTGGTACATAATGAGCTAGCCAATCAAACTGGCTATGTGTTCAGTCACATCTTGTAAAGTGGGAAAGTGAATCACTCCTCACGACCAGCAGTGGCAGAGAATGGTGTAACTCAACTGAAAACCACGTTTGGAACAGAGCCGTACAAAAAGCCAAGCTGCTGGTCTAAATGTTATTTTGCAGATGGACATGAAACCTTTGGACCATCTCAGTAATAAACAATCCAGATAGTTATACAGGATGGCCTGGAGTGAAATAATGAGCCTCCTCGTTCTGGTGCAGGATACAATAAAATGAGGAACACACCAGAATTTCCCCCTCAGTCCACTGTGCAGCCTCTGACAGCTCTCTGCTTCTACTGGGGATTCTTGCAGACCACCAGTAATGCACATGGCCTCAGGCTGCTGTGTTCAAATCTGTGCATGTATTGATCACATTTCTATTACACAATGCTTACGACTATATGCTATTCCCAGTAGGAGGGGATGCCTTGCATTACATAAAAAAAAATTGATTGTCTTGCCATTGCAGGCATACCTAGCATTTTAGGTGCAGTGGAACTACCCTCAACCCTATTCAAACTCACAACCTCTTGAATCCCAAATGCATCAGTCTAATAGAGTTCTTGGCACTAGGCCTAAATGTCCAGGTGCTACACAGCCATCAAGGACATTTTACAGACATTGTCGCCAAGTGTCCTGGGAAGACACATGACGCTTATATCTGCTCCAGCTTTGGAGTGAGTCCGATGGCAAAGGATGGTGTGTTTGCTGGTGGCTGGTCATTGGGAGACAGCAGGCATCCTCTTAGCGAATAGCAGAGTAGAATCCCCAAAATGTGGCGGAGGAGAGGAATAACTGCAGAGCAGGGAACTTTAGACACGTTCCAGTCTGGTGTAAGACGCGATTCTGGTGTCTACACAAGTCCTTGGGAGCTGAAAGATTTTCCTCTGAATGCTGCTGTAGTTATTGTGTCAGTTATGCTGCACAACACTGCAGTAGTTTTTTATTAAAATATATTTTTAAGATGTTTTAATGCTCACCAATGATCTCATCCTTGTTCTTTTTTTACAAGGAAGCAACATAACGTTTTATATATTTTTGACAAATGGGTTAATTGACTTAATGTTCTGTGATTTTATTGATTTTCTAATTAGTTTTTTTTACAGTTGCGTATGTCTGATGTGACAAAGTTTGTTCATTAATTCTGGAATAACAAAGGGTTTGATGAAACTCACACATCTCACTCACTCTTTACCTACATCGTTTGTTATCTTGTTCGTTATTTGGCAAAATTGATGGTTATTGGGAAACTCATCCCAGATCTCTTCTGTTTCCCAACATCAACTCCTCTGAAACATCAAGGAACCGCATCCCAGGCCTGACACGTTCCCATCTGGTATCTTTTGTTCCCTGAGCTTAGAACCAAAATGTAACCATTTCCTGGAGTGATTCCCTTTGGCCTGTTTAATTTTGTTGTTTTAAGGATTTGTTCAGAAGTTCGCTAAAATGGTACAATTATATTATATGAACGAACACAAATTTACTTGAGTATATTATAAAGTATGTTGTAAAATACTATTCTGAAATAATGGAATAACTAGTGATTTATTCATAACAAATAATCATTGCCTAATAGATAAAAGTAAATGAACTGAAGCAAATGATCCAGTTTGGATTAAGCTTTCTTATTTTCAGTCAGCATACAACAGGCCAATAGCAGCTGTCCTTCTTTGAAAGGAGATGTGTAAGATGCCCACTGAGACATTTATATTTTAGTACTTTTGCAGATACTTTTCCAAAGTGACACTAACTTTTTTTTTTTGAAAGTTGGGTTGGTCCCTGGAGCAACTGGGGGTTAAGGGCCCTGCTCAAGGGCCCGACAGTGACATTAGGATGCCAAACGAAGGATTTGAACCTGTAACCTTCCGATCACAAGCACAACATCCCGACCCACTGAGACAGAAATGGACTAAAGGCCAGCTGGAGAGGTAGACGGGACGTTTCAAATAAAAGTTCTATTTTGAATTTTAAAAAGTGTCTCTGTCATAGTGATAGTAAGAAAGGTCATTTCCCTCCGACATGCCTGCATGTGATGCCATCTTAGACACTTCTGACCAGCCGATCACCAGGAAGCGGAACCTGCTTGTCCGGAGGGGTGGCGGGTTTGGGCCAGAAGAATTACCTCCATCTCTCTCTTATTGTGGACACCAAAGTGAAGGAAGTCCCAGAGAAGGGTATGCAAAAGCTTCCTGCTATTTATGTTTTTATAGCTTTTGCAAAGCTATGCCACAAAAGTGTCAAATGCACAAAAGACCGCGGAAAAATTATCTACTATAATAATTAGTTCTCATCGGATGCAAGATGGTTAGCTGCTAAAGCAGGAATTTAGCCAGGATTCTTCTCATTGCAATGAGCTAATTATTAAAAGTGCTATAATCAGGAACGGAAGTTGGTAAATCCAACTTTTGACTCATTAACAACAGCATGCATTGCTCAAGACTTCATATTCTATGTATCGTTACAAGGTGAGAATGTCTAATTTATGCATATGAATTGTACAAGAAAGTCATACAAAAGCGTATGCCTGAAAAATTTGCTTATTGAGAACTCATTAAAGCGGGTGCCTCTTCTGTGTGAAGAAGCCTGGGGATATTTCACGTCCCTCCCATATGAAATCCTCTTTGCGATGTATCCATGCTGACTAACAATAAAAAAATGCCAAAATACCAGTTCTTTGTTTTCTCAAGCAAAGTGAGAAAAGCATAGTAAACAAAACTGCACCGCATCAAATCACATGACACAAACATAAGGAGTAAAACACCATCACTTATTAATCGTACACCACTATTACAAATTTTCCTGCTAAGATTACTTACATAGTATCATCAGACATGCATGGAAGTTGTCTGGCTGAAGAAAACCCTTAAATGTCCAGTGTTACATACTTTACAACAGGGATTACACATACGTCATATTTGTTTCCTAATATTTAAGTGCAGTGCATCCTTTGTTCATTGGTATAAAATAAAAGGCGTCTGTCTTTTGTATGCCTGACATTTTTACTGTAGTTCTTTGCAACCTTTAATCTTTTTTTATTATTGTTTGAAATGTTTTCTGAAATTTCCCTGCTACTATAACCACAATGCAACACTTGTTTCCAGAAGCTTTTCTTCCTTTTCTTGAGTCCTGTTACAGGGAGACAAACACAGATATAGCCAGTGTGATAAGGCTGAGATCCGCATTTTTATAGTGAAGTATGTTAGAGTCTATGAATAAAAGGTATGACTCTTTCTTTTAGACGTTTCGGTGATAAATTTATGTTGCGTAATGATTCTACCATGGAAACAAAAGGATAAACTTGCAGGTTCTGAGACCATTACCTTAATCACTATGCTTCAACTGTTTGTAGTCAAATATTGTGAACAGTGCAGATATTGCAACAATAGTCTTTAAAAACCAAAATATGTTTCAATGCAGCAAACAGCAAAACTAAAGTCATTACAGTCCAAGACTCCAAAGGGCTTTACTGTTTCAAAATTTTAATTCAAACCGTTTTGATGATCTTCTGTTCCAAGATCTTCTGGATTAATCTACACAAAACTTTTAACCTAAACTGAACTACACATTAGAATGAAAACATTTACAATGCATGAAGACTGAAGCTCACGTCCATGAAGAAATTCCAGCAGTGAAATCCTGTTGCTTTCCAGCTCCAATAAGGACATCATAAACAAAAATAAAATGCGCAGCTTAAATCAGCTGCATGCTGTTTTACTTAAACGTCAGCGCACTAATCAGTGTCCACATGATTGTGACTCCTGGCATTTGTACTTGATTGCTCAGATTTGACTGAAGCACCTTAACAGCCGTTTGCATTGTAATATGAGCAATAAGGAGGGTAATCAGCCCTGATTTAGTCAATAACTTCATCCCTGCAGGGCTCAGATCTCCTGAGCAGAAGAATCACTCGCATCACAAAATTAAAATGAAACTTGCGTGAAAAAAAAAAAAAAAAAAAACGATGAACGTCTTCATTTTAACGTTAAGCCCTTTTCACTTTTATTCATTAAGGTAACAAGGACTTTTGCTGGTTGGCTGCAGGGATTGTGAAGAAAAATTTGGGCGAACCCCCACCCCCAACCACAACCCGCCGACCTGCCATTTCCTGCAGCTTATCAAAACACCTACCCAATGGGTCCACACACTCATGCTTTCAATTACTAAATTACAGGCAGTGCCGTCCTGCCACTGGTGACTGTAATTGACCAGACTGATATTTAAATAGCTGCAGTTAAGACTTGGTTCTGTTTCCCGTTGACCTCTAAGAGTAAACAGAGTGAGACGGTCTGAAAACCCTCTTTTGTTGCGCTGCCGTCTCAATTGCATATGAAATCCTGGATGGAGGCTTTTTCCATTCTATCTTGCCTTCGCGAATGAGTGAAAAATCCACCCCCCATTCCCCTCTCTTCTCTCCTCTACTCATTTCTTTCTGTGGATGCCGAGACGGAGTGGTGGTCGTGGGGCTCCTTGACAAGTCCTACCTAGGTGCGGCACATGATGCAGGCCTGACTTGGCCCAAGTCACAGATGCACACAGTAGCGGGTCTCAGAGTTCCAGCAGGGCCCCTTGGCCCTATTATAAGGGGACCCTGGAGATCCCTGAACAAAGCATCTATCAGCTAGGATTCCTGTAGGCTTTGCTGAAGGTTAGTGGGTGGGTGGTCATAGGGGGGAGGTCGCTATCACAAACCAGTCATGGCTAATATGCCTGTGTGCTCCAAACATTCTCACTAATTCAGCTTTCCTCTGTGCACACTTGCATTACGAACTCTCATGCATGTTGTAGTTAAGCTCCGTGCACACGCATGGGCGCAGACCACCCCCTGGGGGTGCAGACCACCCCCCTGGGGTCTCTCTTTACTTTCATCCTTTGCCCGGGGACCTCGTTTCCATGACTTTTGCGGGATTGGCAGGAGCTCGAATCGTGAATTACATCATCAGCGCTTTGACGATCATAATTGCGTTCGCGATAAGTTAAAAAGACGGACTTTGATGAATGTCGAGCGTGTTTCACATCTCCATAGGAAGTGATCTGTTATTTTTGGCTGGCACATGCGATCCATCTTAGGTGATGTCTCGCTTGAGCCTGGTGAGGGTGGTTCAGGGAAACCGGTCCCCAGAGCTCAATGTTTCTGCAGGGCCTGATTGCTTTTTAATGGCGGGGGGGGGTCGTTTTTATTTGCCTGCCCATGTGCCCGGTAGACGAGTCCTTTCACGCTTCTTCCTTCACAGTAGTTGAGGCTTCTGGACACCATATGGTCTAACGCCAGCGTCACTACCAGAGTGGCAAAGAGCGCGTTTCGCTCAGGTCGACTCTGATGAGGTGTGGTTATGAAGCAGAAATGCACCACAGGCCTTTGCCGCCTGGGTAATTCCACCTTGTCCCCCAAGCATGCATGTCAACCTGCAGTGAAACCAATGACATGGGTGATTAAAAAAGACGTGGGGGGGGGGGGGGGTGGGGGTGGGTGGAGGGGTAAATTCTGAACTATTTTCTAAGCTCTTTCAAGAGGATGGAGAACCTTGCCATTCGCCCGTCCTGGACACCAGTGTGTGTTAATGCAAAGGCGTCTCCAAAGCAAGCTGTGTAAAAATGGCCAAAAGAAAATCAAGAACTGTATAAATCTCCTAACACCTAAGTGAAATTAAGCATGCAGCCATATCGGGGTACAAACAGAATGAGAAAGGCACATACATGCATTGGCCTGCATACGGCGGCCTGGAGGAACTCTAAATTGAATTTAATAGAGTAAATCCTAAGATCTTTGGCACAATACAATTAACCCACACCGCTGTCTCCAGACGTCGCTGGCAATTTGGCCAGGCAGCTTAAATCCGATGCCAAGAGTGCGTCCATGCGGCCTGGCGCAGATTCAAGTGCCCTGCCAAAACACAATTAGACTCATTGACAGAGCGCCTTTCCACCACACTCTGCTACTTGTTATCCTAATTAATTCGGCCTAATTTGCATTTATGGGATAAAACAGAGAGTGAATGGTGATACGTCTGCTGATTGCTGCCATTAAGAACTACCCAGGGTGCTAAAATAGGAACTGGTCACATTTTGGGTAATAAATTGTACCTCTATTCAGCAATTTTCAATATATAGCAATTCTTTTATGCATACGAACTAAATATTAAGTGTACCATGAAATGGCATTTTATGGAGACAATAAATGCAATGTTTTTGACAAAAAAATCTGTTGACAATTTTATGGAAAGCATTGGATTATATGAATAATTGCTCATTTTCATCGTTAGTATGCATAGCCATGTGTACTGAGATGTAAAGCTTAATAGTGACCAGGCGCTGTGTAAAGGGTCAAGAATACTTGAAGAAGCAGTAGAACAGGCCGTAGACAAAGGGTACTTCCATCTATCCTGGTCAGGGATGCAGGAAAAAGTTAGACCCGTACAATTTGCGTTTCAAGTTACTATAAAAGTAAAATTACTTCTGAAGCAACTTGGAACAGCAATAGGCAACATGTGTCACCTTCATGCCTGAACTGGCAGACAACATAATGGTCAAACACTGTACAGTCCCCCTCCCCCAAGCCTCTTTCCAGATGCAGGAAGCAGAGGTATAAATCCTGCTATGGGCGGTGTTGTGACAAAGACCACAAATACCAAGATTTGGCACCATGAAAGGAGCTCCAGGCAACACAGATCTGCAGAGGGTGAGCTGGTCTTCTGTTCCTGCAAGACTAATAAACAAAAATAAACACCCTGATTGCACTAGCAGGGTTTCCATTTAACGTGGATCTGGCAAAATGATAACCTCACATTTTGATCACAGCCACCATAACAAACAATGCAACTTCAGTGTTTAATAACTTAATAGTCGATCTGCTAGTATCATTATTATGATGCATCCAAAAGATCCCGCAAGTTTAAAATTTTATAGCTACAAACTTTTTAAAAATATATTGACAGCTAAAGAATGTAGACATTCTCTGGTACATTCATGGCAACAATCACATCTGAAAATTTAGCTTTTAAGATTAAACAATATACTCTCTGGATGAACATACTCTCCGACTTTTTTCCTTACCAGAAATTGCAAAAGTCTGTTTTTCAATCATAACACCGAGATTGCAAACAGATAGACATATGTTCAAAGTTAAGCTCCTATGTAACCCATACCTTATGAAGGGATGCGTAGACAAATGCAGAAATGCTAAAGTAAGTTGAGATTTCAACGGCAGAGGGTGAGCAGATTCCCCTGTCAGATAATATTAGCCTGTATGTGCTTTAACGTAGCTCATTCCTCAGCTTTTTCTCATATCTCATCTAAGAATCATCGCATCACATCATGGCCTGACTGAGCCTTTTGCTGCACACTTGATAATGGGGCTATTTGGATATCAGTGTTGTCTGTATTGATCCACTTCAACTAATGTTTGTTTGGCCTGCTGTTCACTTAGCATCTGTAGCTAACATAAACAAAGTGGCTAATTCATTCAGACTAATTATTTTACTAAGCCAAGGCAGTCCTCCATGCTGCTCTTTATGCCCTCGACATTATTCATTGTCTTTTAGGTGGCAGTGAAAGACAGACAGTGTTAAAGACAGTAGATAATTCTGTAACACTTTACTTAAAGCACCCAATATAGATACCTTCATAATGCATTACAATGAATTCATAAAGTATTATAAACACGGCTACAATTATTTATAAAAAGGCACATCACATTATAGCCATGTTTATTATGCAGTAATAATGGTCTGTGCAGCTCTCATCTATAATGCACTATAAATACCTGCATAATGCATTATAATGGATTATACTGACCATTATAATGCATTATGAAGGTATCAACTGC